TTCTCTGTTTTCAAGGTTGCAGCTGGTAAAGGAGCAATTAATTAGCTGGTGGAGGAACCACTATTTATCAGAGTTCTATAAAGGACAGTTAAAAGCCTGAGCAAAATCATAAAGGTTTTAAAGTCCACAACTTGAAAGGTTGGAATGCCTCTTTAGTCTAAAATGTGTTCAGGGTCACATAAGTATGCTGCTTTTGAAAATAACTCCTTGCATTGTCACGTGAAAGTTGTTTCTTTCCACTGTGTCTCAGGTTCAATCTCTGGAAGATATTGTGGCCCAGAACATTAAGGTGGGACATGGCTTTTTATGTATATTCTCCCAGACAGGTACAATTCCAATGTCTCATCTGACCCAGAGACAAGAGATGTGTTCCTTATCTAGGATGACTTCCCTGTCTTTGGCATTAGCAAATACTCATTTTCAATGGGCTTAATTTGGGAGGAAAAGATTGGAACAATCTGAAGTTTTTTCTGACTTTACATGTCTCTATAAGGATGATAGGATTATTTCCAAAAGATGAAAAATATTTCCAAAAGATGAGAAGTATAAAATAAAAAGCGGCCTTTATTCTGAGAACACGGAGAGAAATGACCGGCACCCCCCACAACTGGCGATCTAGATCTCTCCTGCGGACACGTGGCGTGGGGGTATGTAAGTAGCCTTGATTTGGAGTGGAACCTAAGGCGGGCATTAGGGATGTACAGGTAGCCCATTGGTCCTAGGTTAGGCGCCATATGTAAATTTCCAGGGGCGGGAAGATGGTATCACAGGTAAATTCCTAGGGGCGGGGGAAATGGGGCTTCCTGCTTCCGGTTCAGGCTTTCCTAGCTACAGAGTCCCGTCTGGGCCAAAACCCTTTCAAGTACCAAGTGGGGAAATGAGTAAAAGTAAATCAAAGGAAGGAAACTGAAGGACAATAGGCTTGACATTTCCTCTAGAGTACAGAGGAGGAGCAGAGCCAGTCTGTCTCAGTGAAACACCAGCCTAATGCTGCTTAAATGGTGGAAGGAGTCCTGGTTTTACTGTAGGTATGTATATTTTCTAAGTCTGAGCTAGATTTCATTTAAAAAGACTCACTTTTCAGAAGTTTATATTAAAGCCTCCTGGGGCATTCTAATATTATTCTCTCTAGCATTATTGTCTAAATATAGTCAAGCAAGGAGTACTGGTAACTTTAGTGAAAGGTTCTTGCTCAAGTACAAATGACTGTACAATTATGGCGGTGGTCTAACATGGCAGAAGGCCAAAGCAGGAACGCTCACCACTTCCTCCTTCTTCATCCCTAATTGCAACTCCCTTTCCTGTTTGCACCAAAGAGAATTCCTGTCAGTTACTCACACATCATCAATATCCACCCTATGCACCACTTCCAATCAGAGGTCATATAACCCTCTGCCTCTCAAAGGAGACAGCCCAACCACCATGGTTTGTGTGCTCCTTTCCATGTTCTCAATAAACCTGTTGTTTTGTTTTGTACTTTTTGCTTCTCTATTGTGCCAGAAAACTCTACCATTCAGCAACTAATTTAAATTTAATATGTACAAGAAAATAATAAAAATGTACCATTGAAGAAATACCATGACCTTGTAATTTTCCCATTTTACCTTAGATTTACCATTTTAACAAACTATATGATATAAAGCAATTATAAACAATGGAGAAAAACAAAACAAAATCTGAAGCATAAAGATTTGTTATCTAGGGGCTGGGGATTTAGCTCAGTGGCATAAGCACCTGCCTTGCAAGCAGGTGGTAGTGAGTCAATCCCCAGTACCGATAAAAAAAAAAAAAAGAATTGTTACCTAAAACGAGTGTCAGTTCAGAGTCTGTAAAACAAAAGGCAAATTTTTACCCCCTTCCGATGATCTCAGTGGAAGACCTCCAAATGATATAGGGGAACGAAATTCTCTACTTGCTACATGTCCAGTACAAGTTCGTGTTCTCTAAAATCGAAGAATGAATTTCAGGAACAACAGAGGTCAGAGCAGAAATATTTATTGAGAGAAAGAAAGCTTCTGTCTGAGAGAGAGACAAAAGAGGCCCCAAGTGGGTTGGCAGGAACTCTGTCTTTTTTAGGGATTTTTGTAGAATAAAATCATGAGGTGAGATGGGTCTAAGGTGGGGAAAAATGTTAACTCATGTAGTAGATGGGCATGAGGTGGCACAGAGCTATGCTCAACCAATAAGTTTTAATTTTTCAGATAAAATTGACCAAATCAGGGACAAATGGGGAAGTGAGTCATGTAGCAAGCAAGCATTCTTATGGATCAATGACTCTTTCTGGAGGATTTTGGGATGGTCACTCCGAGCGTCTCAAAATGACCCATACTTAATTCCTAATGTTTATACTTAAGGGTGTGGGTGCATTTGTTTTACCTTCTGTCTTGAAATCTGCCCTCCAGGAAGAGGTGTGCGTCTCCTTGTAGGTCATATGACCTTAGTGCTCTATGCCCTGACTACCTATAGTATTTCTAACTAGCTCAATTGCCTGCAACATAATTATAGGTGTAAGTTTCTTTTACGGACCATGCTCTATTTTATTCATTGTTCTAGTCCCTTCAGTTGGATATAATTTGGCTACCAGAGGGACTGCCAAGCAATCTCTAGTTACATTTATTAAATGATACCCACCCAGCATATCAGGTGACAATTGCCATGACAACCATTAGAACTATAAAAGGAAAACAGGTGGCACCTAAATTCCTAGAAAAATCTCCACCTATTCCCAAAAAAACCCCCTTTCATCTTTTTTAGCAAACCCCTCACCATTTTCTTTTCTTTTTGTAGGACTGGGGTTGAATTCAAGGTCTTGGCAATGAGCTAAATCTCTAGTCATTTTTGTGACAGGGTTTCACTAAGTCACTAATTTGCCAGCTGGGTTCAAATTTGTGATCCTCCTTCCTCAGGTTCCCAGAGTGCTAGGATTAAGGGCTTATACCCCCTGCCCCAGCCCTTCCACCTCCATTTTGTCTATCCTATGTCTATAACCTTCCATATTGCAGTAGGCAAGAAGTTAATGTTTTACCTATCACTTCTAATGTTCAAGAATAAAATTATCCTTTGATACAATAGTAATGCTTGGTTTTCTCATTGCTTCCACAATTCCAAGTGGAAAAAGGTAATTTGGGGTTAGAAATTAATAAAGAGATCACAAATTTAATGGAGAGAGGCAGAATGAGAACATACTCCAGCCCTTGTTCATTTATTTCTTTATCTGACAATAATTTGATGGGCACTTATCATTCATTACAGTGTAGTGCATTTACATGTTAATATAAGATTTTAAACAATTTTATTACACATAATAGTGTATATAAATATATGGTTAACATAGAAACATGAAGGAAAAGTTAATCTATTGACAGTTCATACAAGAGGATGTGAAAAAAATACCAAAAAAATTTTAAAGCTTTTAATTGGCTGTCTTTCATGATTCTCAGGAACTCAGGCTGCAACATGGTCACACAACATTTAGGTCCAGAAAAGACCTACAGATATCTTACTTGGTTACAGTTTTTACTTATTTTTTCTTGTTGAGTCAGCTGGCTACTGTGGATCTGAGCTCAGGACATTCAGCTATTTATTACAAATATGGGCTACAATATGGAGTGCCGATTTTTCTTAGTACACTTGCACTATATGCCATTTACAGTCATCTTGGAGAACTGGCACATGTATATAATACAACTTGTTGCTTTTTAAAATCCCCACTCCCCCTTTAAAAAAAAAAAAAACAAACACATTCTCTCCCTGTAGTTTTGGCTGGGCTTGAACTCAGTATGTAGCCTAGGTTGGCCTCAAACTAGAGACAATCCTCCTGCCTCAGCCTCCGCAGTGATAGGATTACAGGCATGGACCACCAATCCTGGCTTAAGGAGGGCATAATTTTAATTTAACAAAAAATTTGATGTGGGTGGATAAAGACCTTTCTGAAAAAGTGACTCAAAATGCAACCTGAAGAATGAACAAAAGTGGAAAGGAAAAGAGCGGGAAGTTATTGTAGCTCAGAAGTCAGTAATTAGCAGTTTAAAAGTTTGTAGAGGTGGAGGGAAGGTCAGTTGGAGACTGGAAGCGCCGAGTAGGTAGAACGGGGGTGGGGTGGATAGAGGTACTACTTGGAAACTAAGTTAAACAGGGCCTCTTACCGTATTTTAGGCCTTTCGCAGGTGAAACCACTTCTTCAAGGAATTACGAATTGGGAACTTGCTCTAGCGACTTTTCTGACTCAGCACCTTCTCTCACCCTTTACCAGCACATTAGGGAGTAGGTACCATTTTGCTTCCTTCCACATGCTCTTCCCATTTTATCCTTTCCCAGCGATCATATTTCCCTGACCACTCCACTTTTTATCAGGGCACTTCTGAGCGCTCTAATTTCATTCTTCCCTCAGTCTGCGCCCCTCCCCCGCTGTCAACTCTGCAATCCACGACCTTTAGGTGACCATCAAGGTCAGAAACTATCAGCCAAGTCTGTACCTTCTGGTCCTTACCAACTTAAAGAGGTTGTACCCAGTCCGCACCATTAGATCAGTACAATAGTTTCCCCAATACCCAGTCCGCACCATTAGATCAGTACAGTGGTTCCCCCAACGTCCATACTTATTGTTAGGTCACAACTATTTTGGGGGATAATTTTATTTCTGGCTGTTTCCTCCGTCCCCAGCCACAGAATGAAGGGCACCATGAAAATCTTTCCAAATGTTCCTGCCACAAGTCCCGGCCTCCTCTTCTTTCTCTCTGCGGGTTCCCGGACTAGGCATTCGGTAACACCGCAGCCGCAAACTTCCCCTCGGGGACTTCGCAGAAACCTCCAAGCAGCAGGGAGTGGCGACGTCCCACACCGACCGTACCAGAGCGCCAGCCGGAAGCTCGCGCGAAGCTGGCGGAAAGCGGCGAAGGCCCGGCGCGGGGAATGGGTGGGGGAGGTGCGAAGGGCGGGGCTACGGCGCGCCAGGGGCGGGGCCCCCGCGCCAGTCACGTGAGGGGCCCGGCGGCGGCGGCGGCGGTGGCCGCGGCGTCTTCAGCGGCTCCCAGTGCAGGATGGTGCTGGAAGCGGCGGCGGCCGTTGTGGCGGCGGCGTTGCTGGCGGCTGCGGGAGGGGGAGCGGTGGCGGCAGCGGTGCCCGCGGGGGGTATAAAATGGCGGATTTCGAAGAGTTGAGGGTGAGCGGGGACGCGGGAGAGGAGCGAGGAGGCTGTGGGGGAGGGGAGGAGAGGGGAGGGAAGCCGCAGCGTCGCGGGCCGCAGCCTTCGCGTTTGCGGCGGGCCAGTCGAAGGGTCTAGTTTCCCCCGCAGCCGCGAGCGCGCGGTGCTTGGGAGAGGAGGGTGGGGAGCGGGCCTGGCCCTTGGACCGCACACCTGGCGTGGGCCGGGAGCCCCGGGAGGGCACGTGGGCCTGACTCCCGGCCTCAAGAGCCCGGGGTCGAGGAGGGCTGGGTGTCTTCCCGGCCATTCTAAACTCTGCTTGCTTGTTACTCACTTGGAGGGAAGACTTTGCTGAGACGTGAAGTTGCGTTTAGGAATTTTGGGGTGATGCCACCGTGTAGTCAGTTCTGTCCGAGAAAAAGGCCCCTTCTTCCCACTAGTGCTTCCTCACGTCGTCGAGAGAAAGCGTGGTCTTTTGGGAACACTGCCTTCAATCTTCGCCCTTAAACGTTGGTATTTTCTTAGTGGCAGGGTAAGAAATCTGTGAAGTCCATGTTGTCTTGTGTTGTGTCTGGCTGTGTACTCATTTTGCTCTACTCGAGGGAAAAAATGTTTTTTTACTTAGCCGTATAGCAAGGTCATAAATTTGTTCATACCTTAGAAAACGAGAGTGGTTTAGAGTTAAACGGAAAAAATATTTTTTCCCGTCAGACCGATAATCTTGTGTATGTGTACACTAAACTGTTCTCCCATTTGAGGGGCTCGAAGTTGCAGAGTTGCAGTTCTGCTACTTCAGCCTCTCCAAAGTGGTGGTGTTTTTTTTTTTTTCCTTCCGATTTTGTGTTTTGAGACAGATGCAGACTGGCCTCGAACTCACGGTGAGCCTCTTCAGCCTCGAGAGTGCTAGGATTACAGGCATGCCGGCTAGAAACCTTGAATATACCAAAGGAAAAAAAAAGTATTTCTTGTAAAGGTGGTCATGAATTTAAACTTCACATAACATGAAGGTGTTATTTTAGGATCACGTGACAGTCCAGTAAAAGATTGTTTTAGAGATGAGGTTGTGGGGGGTGTTGGCTGATTAACTGGTAGTTCAGTGGACAACAGCATGTGTTGTATTGTACAGGGAAATTGTTTGCATAGGGTCTGCCATTTTTCTTTCCTTTTCAAAAAATCCATTTCTAGTCAAGTATGTTAATACATGTTTTGCCTCATTCTAGAAAACATGATAGCAGGCAAAAGATACTTGTAGTTTGTAAGTCCTAAAAGTTTCAGTGACTGACAGCTTTTGCGAAGCATTTAACACCTATGGAACTTTGGAAATAACAAGGTCATTTACCTTTGTAAATTCCTTAGGCTTAGGATGGGTTGAGAAGGCAGAACTTTGAAGTTAAAAATTTACCTGCAGTATTGATTTAATTTTTCTATAGTATCAGGTGTATATGGCTTTTTCTCTTCCAAGCTATTTTATTTATTTTATCTGGGAAAAATTTTTCCGGGACTTGTTTGGTCTTTCATAAACGAGATTGGTCAAACTTAATGTGCAGAATTAACTATCTTTATAGGTCAGAAAGGGGAATCCATGCTTAGGAACTGCAAAGTGGTTGAAGCCTAAGAAACTTATTTCTCTCTCCTTTTTTCCATTACTTCGTTTTGTGTATCATCTTCATCTTCTCTTCCTGTAGTTTGTAAGTCTTAAAAGTTTCAGTGACTGACAGCTTTTCCGAAGCATTTAATACCTATGGAACTTTGTAAATAACAAGGTCATATACCTTTGTAAATTCCTTAGGCTTAGGATGGGTTGAGAAGACAGAACTTTGAAATTAAAAATTTACCTGCAGTATTGACTTAATTTTTTAATTAAGTCAAGTCCATAAAATCCTGGACTTGATAGAAGATGGTTTGCTAGTCATAGTTGATATCACATGACTAAGAGAAACTTAACCTGGCAGAGTTTTGATGTGGAGCTTTCAGGGAAAAGGAGGAGAGTAATGGACGAGTAGATGCTGGAAGAGTTAACCACTTCTCATTGTTTAAGCCTCTCTGGGTGGATCTCTGTCACTTTACACTTAAAGATAACATATAGGACTGGAGGTATGACATTGGTACAGTGCTTGGTTCAATCTCTAGTACAACCAAAAAACAAAACAAAATGAAAAAGGTAAATTATATTTGATGCAAACAATGGTGGCTATGTTCATTATAATATATATATTATTGCATTTTTTGCTCTGGTCTTAAGCACTTAGTGTATGTTTTACTATTGTAATTCTGTGGAGAAGTTGAGGCACAGAGGATGATGTAACCTAACCTCTGTCATATAGAATGAAAATGGGAAAAGTGCGGCCTTTTAACCTCCATGGTCTACTCTTATGGTCTGAACATCTCAAAGCCCACGATGTATATAGCTTTATTAAAGCACCTTTGGGCTTTGGTGGAGTTCCTGGCATTCTCCTGCAATTTCTAGACTAAATGATAAATATCACTTTTCTGTAACATAATAATAGAAGGAAAATTTAGAAAGGAAGAGAAGGAATATCTAGAGCTCTCAAAATGATGTTCTTTGGTTTAGAACATAGTTTGAAGGTCAGAGTGATAGTCAAGTAAATTAGAGAGTCAGGAGGAATTATGGGCACTAGTTTCTTGGCTGTCTTGGATGGTAGAGGAAAAGACCAGCTGATTTGACCATTTGACTGCTTATGTTCCTGCTGAGCGTCATCCTTCAGGGCTATTCTGTACAAATCATTACGGGATCAGCATAACAAGAGCAGTTCACATTTGACTGGTACTAAAGATTCTTCAGTACTAAAAGATACGGGTATTTTGAGAACGGTTATTGTCTGTCACCAAATGGTTTAGAAACTCCTATGCCTTTTAGGCTTGGGGGCAGGATACTTGGTGAAGCAACTCCTATAGACAGTTGTACTATACTTCTTGTCTGGTCACAGTAAGACACTTAAGCCCTACACTTTGCTGCCAGCCTGCTTCTTTGCTATCATCTGGGAGTGAGAATCAGATTGGTAGACCTTTGACTGAGGTCTGCTAGCCCTTGGTTTGGATATCATATGGTACAAACTTGAATTAGGAGTTCATTCTGATGGATTGAGGGAAAGGAAGAGAATGGTCTTTGAGAAGGGAAAATGGCATGTGCACTCAAAAGATGATTATAATAGTGTGCCATGTATTAGAAGCTTTCACAGTGCCAGAGGAAAAAAATTATGCAGTTCACCAGTTGTTTGTTTACAACATCTATGTTAGAATTAGAAGTGATGGTTAATTAGTTTATGAATGGATAAGTTTGTGAATTTACTAGTTGTAATTAAAATGATACATGATCATAAGGTGTGGTAGCCTGGACTTCTGTGATTGTCACTTTGCTTCCTCTTTCAAAAATAATGCCTAGGGGCTGGGGATTTAGCTCAGCGGCATAAGTGCCTGCCTTGCAAGCAAGCAGTTGTGAGTTCGATCCCCGGTACCGATAAAAAGGAAAAAGACCAAAAAAAAAAAAAAAAAAAAAAAAAGCCTAGAGGAGCCAGGTACTGAGCAGGAGAGGGACAACAGTTTGGTTTCTGGAATCACTGATCTATTCAAGGCTGTCTTAGTTGCTTTTCTCTCCTTGTTGGAACAAAATGCCTACCACCCCAAATGAAGGAAGGAAAGATTTAGTTAGCTCACACTTTGTGGAGGTTTCAGTCCATAACCAGCTGACTCCAGGGCAGGGTGGCATGGCTTCAGGGCAACACTTCAAGGCAGCAGCTAGCAAAAGCAGCCAGAGCAAAATGGGGGAAGAGCAAGCTTCTTATCCTCCTTTATGTTGTATACAGGCTAATGTGGCTTCAGCTCCAGAGCCAATGTAGCACTCACAAAATGTTCTTGCCCTACTCTGGGAGGGGAGGAGAATATTACAAAGAACCCTGGCTCCTGCTGCATCTCCTAGTTCAACTTCTAAACTTCTCAAGTTGACACAATGTATTAAACATAACAAAGGATATTTTCCTATTTTTTATCTGCTCCTGTGGCTTACTGGTGGGTGACAGTTCTTAAAATGGTACCTGCTACAAGCAGTCTGGTTCATCTACTCTTCTTTGGGTTCAGCAGTGGAGGAGGAATCTGATTGAGTGGAAACTTTGTATTCTAAGCACAGAATATTAAAAGAGAGGAGGCAACTAGATAAGGAGTTTAGTGAGAGCGTGCAAGGACTCTCCACAAAGAAAGCTGTGTAGTCTCTGTAGACAAAGGGCAGGTTTTGCCTGATATAGGTTCTGATGGGGGAAGGCTCTGGATACTGATGTGAGCTGATTTAATTCTTGAGAGCGCAGGGGATTGGGTAAACCTTTACATGCCTGAGCTTTGACACAGACTTTTGGGAGAGAAAAGCCATAGGAGCTTAAGAAGGAGGTATGTATTGTCAGGGCACAGTTTTGAACTAATTACCATAATGATTGTGCTGTCTGTCAGGGGTGGCTGTGTGTGTGTGTGTGTGTGTGTGTGTGTGTGTGTGTGTGTCTAACATTCCCATCTCTTTGGTGTTAGGGTGCCCCCGAGGAATCTCTGGCTGCTTCCTGCTGAGAGGGGATGTTGGGGCCTAGGGTGGAAGGAAATGGGATTGAGGGTTCCCTTGCATCCAAGTTTGTGAGGTAGTGATGTAGCTCAGTAGCAGGATTTCTTCAGTGGTGAACGCCTGTATTCTGGCTTGGATAAACCTTGAGAGGAGCCTAAAGGTACAGGGGGCAAAAAGCAAAAAAAAAAAAAAAAAAAAAAACAAAAAAAAAAACAAAACAAAAAAAAAACAAACCCAAACAAACAGAACAACACTATGATAATTATGGGCACCATAATGGTCCTTAGAATGGGAGCCCAGGACCCATGAGTCCCACTATGAAGACCAAGAGGTGGATTTTGGAAAATATTGCCTTCCTCATATATCAGCTGCTAAGTTTTTGAATTGTACCTGATCTTTGACTATACCTGATTGGTTGACAAAGTAGCAACATTCTTCTCCCAGCATAGAAAGTATC